TACAAAAACACAAAAGTATTAAAAATAATTATATCTATAATGATTTGTTAGTGCATACACAATATTAAATACAAAGTGTGAAATTAATAGCACACAATGTGTGGGATGGGGATTAAGGAAAAATGTAGTTATTGAAATTATCAGTTTAAAATAGAATATTATGACTATAAGATGTTTTATGTAAGCCCCATAGTAACCATAAAGAAAAATCTTTAGTAGATGCACAAAAAATGAAGAAAAATGAAAAAAAGCATACCACTATTAAAAAATCAACAAATTGTTAGGGAAGACAATAAGAGGAAAAAAAGAACAAATGATCTATACAATATTCAGGAAATGATGAACAAAATGGCATTAGCAAGTCCTTACCTATCAATAATTACTTTAAATATAAAAGGATTAAATTGTACAATCAAAAGATATATATATATTTATATTTATATATAGGCATTTTGGCTACAATATGGTGTCTGCTAGATACTCATTTTTGTCTTAAGGACACAAAAACAAGCTGAAAGTGAAGGGATGGAAAAAGATACTCCATGGGGCTGGGGCTGTGGCATAGCGGGTAAAGCTTCTCCCTGCAGTGCCGGCATCCCATATGGACACCAGTTCAAGTCCCAGCTGCTCCACTTCTGATCCTGCTCTCTGCTATGGCCTGGGAAAGCAGTAGAAGATGGCCCAAGTGCTTGGGTCCCTGCATCCATGTGGGAGACCTGGAGAAAGCTCCTGGCTCCTGATTTCGGATCCAGGCCAGAGCAGAGAACTGGATTAGAAGTGCAACAGCCAGGACTCGAACTGGCAGGTGGCCTAACCCACTGTGCCACAAGCTGCCCACAGATCTTAGACCTTCTTTAAAAAAAAAACTATTTATTTATTTGAAAGGCAGAGTTACAGAGAGAGATAGGGAGAGAAATCTTACATCTGCTGATTCACTCTCCAAATGGCTGTAACCGGGACTTGAACCAGCTACCATATGGGATACCAGTGCCACAGACAGCAGCTTTACCTGCTACACCACAGCACCTGCCAGATCATAAATCTTAATGTAAACCAGAAAACTATAAAACTTTTCATAGAAAACAGAGAAAACTTTGATTACGTTAAAATAAGCAGAGTTCTAAGATGCAACACCAACAGCAAATCTGTAAAAGGAAAAATATTAAGCAGTTGGACTTTCGGCCGGCGCCGCGGCTCACTAGGCTAATCCTCCGCCTTGCAGCGCCGGCACACCGGGTTCTAGTCCCGGTCGGGGCGCCGGATTCTGTCCCGGTTGCCCCTCTTCCAGGCCAGCTCTCTGCTGTGGCCAGGGAGTGCAGTGGAGGATGGCCCAAGTGCTTGGGCCCTGCACCCCATGGGAGACCAGGATAAGTACCTGGTTCCTGCCATCGGATCAGCATGGTGCACCGGCCGCAGCATGCCGGCCGCGGCTGCCACTGGAGGGTGAACCAAAGGCAAAGGAAGACCTTTCTCTCTGTCTCTCTCTCTCACTGTCCACTCTGCCTGTCAAAAAAAAAAAGTTGGACTTTACCAAAATTGAAAGCCTTTGCTCGGGGTCAGCACTGTGGCACAGCAGATTAAATCCCTGGCCTGCAGCACCAGCATCCCATATGGGCACCGGCTCTAGTCCCGGCTGCTCCTCTTCCCATCCAGCTCTCTGCTGTGGCCTGGGAAAGCAGCAGAGGATGGCCCAAGTGTTTGGGCCCTTGCACCTACATGGGAGGCCGGGGAGAAGCTCCTGGCTCCTGGCTCCTGGCTCCTGGCTCCTGGCTCCTGGCTCCTGGCTCCTGGCTTCGGATCGGCGCAGCTTCGGCCATTGTGGCCAATTGGGGGAGTGAACCATTGGATGGAAGACCTCTTTCTCTCTCTGCTTCTCCTCTCTCTGTTTAACTTTACTTTTCAAATAAATGGATAAATCTTTAAAAAAAAAAAAAAACAGAGAGAGAGAGAGAGAGCCTTTGCTGTAAGAAGGACCCTGTTAAGAGAATGCAAAGGCAGACACAGACTGGGAGAAAATGTTTGCAAACCACATATCAAACATAGGAGGTATATACTAACGGTATAAAGAACTCCCAAGAAAGCATTGAAAAATTGAAAAACAGGTAGAAGATTTGAACAGACACAACACCCACGAGGATGCACAAAAGGCAGATAACCACGTGGAAAGCTGCTGGGCATCACTAGCTATTAGGAAAAAGCAAATTAAAATGACAGTGAGATGTCACTGCGTATGTGTTAGAATTACGTGGCCATCCTTGGTATAAACTACTCGAGGAGCGCACCTACGTGAAATTCCTCCTTGATCATCCTCTCCAAGATGCCTTTCTGGAACAAGGACAAGAGAAGCAGGTCACATCTCCTGGTGTTGAGGCCACAATATCTGAGACACACATACATGCACACAAACGCTGTTCCTCATTATTCCTCTCCTTTGATGTCATGAATCTCCTCATTCTGTGATCTTTAGCTCTTCCACGTTGGCCTGTTTCTCCTGTCTCTTGTACATTACACTGTTCATACTCCAGCAGGCCGGTCTGGAAGTCTTGTCCTCAAAGGATTCTTATGGACTCCTTCAGGGCCACACCTGAAGCTTCAATAAATTCCGTAAGGGAGTGGCGGCGCTATGGTGCAACAAGTAAAGCTACCGCCTGCAGCAGTATTTATGTATGTGTGTGTCTATATATATTTACAAACACACACACACACAAAGTTATAGTGCCTTTCCTCTGTACCCTCATGTACAGAGCAAACTAGATACCAGATAAAATATATTTTTTTTTTCTGGCACCAGTGCTGTGGCATAGCAGGTAAAGCCACTGTCTAAGGCACCAGCATCTCATATGGGCACCAGTTTGAGTCCCGGCTGCTCCACTTCTAATCCAGCTCCCTGCTATGGCCTGGGAAAGCAGAGGACGATGGCCTAAGTGCTTGAGCTCCTGCACCCATGTGGAAGACCCAGAAGACAATCTGGATCCTGGCCTCAGCCTGGCCCAGCCTTGGCCACTGCACTACTGCATCCATCTGGGAAGTAATCTCTCTCTCTCTCTCTCTCTCTCTCTCTCCCTCCCTCTCTTTGTAACTCTTTCAAATAAAATTTTTTTTTAAAAAAAAGGACTAGTAGATAAACGAAGGAGATAAAATATAAGGAACAGAATTAATCCATTTATATTTTTAAAATATCATCATATTTAAATAACATACATGCTAAGTTTTAGTCATTGACATTTGCTTATTGAAAAAACTACTTATTTATGTTTCAGTCAATCTCCAGATATTTGTTGAATACCCACTGTGTGTTCCAGGCACTGTTCTAAATACTAGGGGTACAAGCAAAACTCATTTGAAGAAAGATAATCAGTAAAGATTCTTACTTAGCTTTACTTGAGTTTTTCCCAAAGTTTCAGTTGCAAATTTACTCTCATCTTTTATGAAGGTCAGAGGCCTTTTATCCACAGTAGACTTCTGATAAAATTCCATCCACCACTACTTCCTATCTAATGCACATGCTTATAGCAACCCTCTGGGCCAGTTCTTGTAACAGGAAGCCAGCTGATGCTAAGGTTTCTCCTACTCCACAACATGAGGGTTTTTAATCATTTATTTGAAAGGCAGAGAGAGAGAAAGATAGAGAGAGAGAGAGCAGGCGAGCACTCTCATCTGTTGATCACTCATCAAATACCCACAATGGCCAGAAATGGGCTGAGCCAAAACAGGGAATGAGAATGCGATCCAAGTCTCTCACGTGGGTGGCAGGGACACAACCACCTGAGCTATCTATCACCTGCTGCCTGCCAGAGTCTGCACTGGCGGGAAGATGGAACAGGAACCAGAAACAAGAGTGGAATTCCAGTATTCTGATATGCATGCCAGCATCTACCCCACCAGGCCAGACACCTGCTGCTATAACATGATTTTAAAAAAAGAGAGAGATTTTATTTATTTGAGAGGCAGAGGTAGACAGAGAGAGGGAGAGACAGAGAAAGAGATCTTCTATCCACTGGTTCACTCCCTAAATGGCCAAAACAGCCAGAGGTGGGCTGATCCGAAGGCAGGGGCCAGGAGCTTCTTCCATGTTTCCCATTTGGGTGCAGGGCCCATCCTCTGCTGGATGGGAGGTGGAGCAGCCAAGACGCGAACCAATGCCCATATGGGATGCCGGTGCTGCAGGCGGAAGCTTAACCTGCTACGCTACAGCACTGACCCCATATAACATGACTTTTTAAAGCAATGTGCATTCAGTCTTTTTTTCTGCCATGTTCATATGTCCAAAATGCAAGAAACCAACCTGCTGATAGGTAAACTTTTGAGTTTCTTCCCGTTCTCTGAACCTGTTATCAACTATAATGTGGTATCTGCTCAAAAGAGTCCTGCGCATAGCTAGATCCTTCCTTAGGCACAATCTGTGCTCAGCACGTGGTTCTCATGAAGGCAGATTGTAAAACAGAATTCCATTCTTACCGCTGTGAAGACACATGGCGTTTGCATTTCACAGCCTTTGCTGCCATAGCTACATCTGCCCCTGCTTTTGAAAACGGTGAAACACTGGGACATTTGGAATGGAACAAAAGAGGACATAGTAAAGCGGTTTCTACTCGGGGTGTTCTTCTCAGCCTCAAACAACCCGAACACTGCAGGCAACCCCTCTCTGCGGGAAGACGCAGATTTATCAGCTCCACGAAGGACGGTCAAGCTTCCAGGAAGAATTTTCTGAGTCCCAGAATGGGGGTCAGCCAGCAGCCACCATTTGACCCTGGCTGAGGATCTGCTCTGAAAACCTCAGGGCTATGCTGTGTCCTCCGTTAAGGTCTCAGTCATCAAAGCAACCTTGACCCAAGGGATCAGAGGTCAGCCTGGACCCCAGCAGAGCTAGGCAAGAGGGGGAGAGGAGGAAGAGAAAAGCCCTACACCAGTTTTGCCTTGTGCCTTCAGAGACGGGGGTTGTGAGAGCCATGCTAAAGCTCAGAAGGCACTGAAGGTACCAACCCTTTGTGTCTCCTCAGGGGCTATTCCCATTCTGCTCATACCCTACTTTCTGGTGTTCACCAAGTTCTGGTCGGCGTCTGTGCTCGCGTTGGCCTGGCTCGTCTACGACTGGAACACCCACAGTCAAGGTAAGAGGTGGGACAGCACGCGGGGCATGTCTGTGCTCAGGAGGACCTGGCAGGAAGAGAGGTGGAGCGAGAAAGAGAGGAGGGATGAAGAAGGGAGGGGTGGAGACGAGGGAGAGGAGGATGGGCAAAGAGGGGAGGGGTGGAGACCTGAGGGGAGAGCGAAGCTTAGCAAGGACACAGGTTCTCTGCCAGGCTGCCCAGGAAGAGTTAAAGGGGTGAGGTTTCCAGGCAGGTGCCCCCAGCCTCAAGCTATCTCCCTATCACCTCCTTCTTCGCTGGCTCCTGTGGAGCAGGGGCTTCCAGTGTTTTTGGGGGGCTGGATCTGGTGGCAGTACCTACTGCTCAGAGGTGTGAGGAGGCCCCTCCAGGGAGCTGAGCACAGCAGGCAGCACTCTCCACCTCTGAGAGAGAGGTAGAGAGACTGGCAATGCCCGTCTGCTCTTTCCTTCCCTTCTCTACCCACAGGCGGCAGGCGTTCTGCTTGGGTACGGAACTGGACCCTCTGGAAGTATTTCCGAAATTACTTCCCAGTAAAGGTGACTGCCCTTCTGCTGGGGGCCCTCAGATCCTGTGACCCAGACTCTTACTCCCTTCTCAGCTCTTTGTTTCCAAAGGCTTCAAGTGGGCAGCAGGGAAGGTCAAGGCCCAGAGGAATCATGGGCATCAGGAGTCCAGGATGGACGGGCAGGGGGGAGACAGGGGAGTAGCGGCCTTTCCTGCTCTAGCCAGCCTAGGTCAGCCTCTCTGATATCATGACCCTTTGGCCATCTCATGACAGTGACAACGTCCCACTGAACTGGGATTCGGGGCTCCCAATAGGATACCTGCTAAGAATTGAGTCTCTGTGAGTGCTCTTCCTTCTTCCTAGCCAATGTTCTGACCCAATCTCCCTCTAACAGCTAGTGAAGACTCACGACCTGTCTCCCAAACACAACTACATCATTGCCAACCACCCGCATGGCATTGTCTCTTATGGTGCCTTCATCAACTTCGCCACTGAGGCCACTGGCTTCACTCAGATGTTCCCATCCATCAGTCCCTCTCTAGCAACCTTGGAAGGAATCTTCTGGATCCCCATTGTGCGTGATTATGTGATGTCAATGGGTGAGTATACAAAATCATTGCACTCCCTGGCCTACCTCAGGGCTCCAACCCCAAATAAGCTCTTCAGTGACCCCATGCTGGAAGAAGACTTGGTAGAAAATGAGTCCAGAACACACCGGGCCACTAACAGGTGTGCAGCCAAGCATCAGGTGCTGCTCAAGTTGTGAAAGGCAAGGTTTGGTTGGATGACCTTGCCAGGATTGCTTTCAGAGAGGAAACCAGAAAGCTGGAGTTCAGGATTAAAGGCAAATGGAAAGAGGAGGGTGAAAGGCAAGTCATAAACACAAATACAGGAAAACTCCAGCATGAATGGGGCAGCTCAGATGGACTTCAGCGGACTCCTTTCAGGGCTGTCAGTTGGCTTCTTTTGGCCAGTCATTTGTATGGCAGCTCGCATCCCAGGGTGTCATAAAGATATTTTAATATCTCTCCTACTGGCTGGGACATTCAAGGTCCATTATTCTCATCTCCTGAGAAAACCTACATCCTTGCATAGCATGCCAAGGGATAAAGGGTATGCATACATCAGAATCCAAGATAACTTTTCCCTGCCAAACTTTATGTCAGGGCATTGTGACAAATGTCATCCCTCTGGACACCAGAAAACAACCAAAGCCCAACACAAAAATGTAAGATACATCTATCTGGGGGTTGGGGGATGGCAAGTGAGGCCACTGGGCTGCCAGAGGATGCTTCTGCTCCTCTCTGAGCTTGTCAAGATTCTGGAGCAGAGGTCTCTTTCAGCAGCTAAGAGCCTGGAAGTAATTTCCACCATCCCAGTAGAGAATAGGAAGTGAGTCCAGGGCAAAGATGGGAAAGAAAAGTGATGCAATACTCTGTGACTGCTGTTGAACAACAAGTTGTCATCTCCATGCCATTGTTCCTCTACATTTTAATTTGGCTTGGGCAGGCTCCCCAGTTGGCCTACTCTCCAGCAACCTCAGCCAATGGCTCCTGTTTGGCAGGTTGCTCCAAGGAGGAAGCAGGTTGATCAGCTAGCCCTGATCACGCCTGGAGGAGAGACCTCTGGAGGGCCTCCAGTGCTGTCAGCCTTGGCAGGGTTAAAATGACTGCAGCTCATAGTAGAGAGGGAAAGGGTGAGCTCCAATACTATTGATCTGGAAGGTAGTAGGTTATGTGTGGATGCGTACACTGAGGAGCTTGGTATAGCCCCAGCTGTACCAGCATGAACCCCCAAGGCAAGTAGCTGATCCTAAGGACCAACCTCAGGTGAGGGCTAATCCAGTATATAGAGGCCAAAGACAAAAGGACAGAAAGAGCAATAGTCAAGAAACCAATGAGCTGTCTCTGGCAGGAAGAGCCTAGAGGAACCCCACACCCCCTTGCTCAGGTGCCAAGTTTATTCTGCTATTTGACTCTTTGGTTTTGCAGGTTTGTGCCCAGTGAGTAAGTTGGCCTTGAATTACTTGCTGACCCAAAAAGGCTCAGGTAATGCTGTGATTATTGTGGTGGGTGGAGCTACAGAAGCCCTCTTGAGCAAACCAGGAACCTCCATCATCTTCCTCAAAGAACGGAAAGGTTTTGTGAAGTTGGCACTGAAGACAGGGTGGGTCCCTAGGTTCTGGGGCTCTTTTCTCAGGGTGCCATAGCCCGGTGTGGGGTCGTCCTCTTCACTCTGATTGTTTCTCTCTACCCCCTCATGCTGTGCCTTAGCAGTGTCTGGGCCTCCACACTTATTCAGGTGAACACTTTGATTTGAACTTGGAGAAAGGACAGAAGAAGACCTTTTACTTTCTGCCCATTAGCCCATCAGTCTGGGGCAGTGGGACTTCCCTCTCTATCAGTCTGCCAAGAATCTGCCCAAGGAGGAAGGCACTGGCCTTGATGCAGTGAGAATTGCAAAGACGAGCTAGAATGCCTCCAAAGACCATACAACCTGATTTGGGATATAGAATGCATTCGTTCAGCATCTATTGAACACCTGCTGTGTGTCAGCCACAGTGCCAGGCATTGAGAGTACAAAAATAAATAAGATCTGGTCCTTGTGAACTCACAGTCCAGAGTGGAAGACACATACATGCACACAGAATTATAAAATATAGGGATGGGCATTGTAGCTCAGCAGGTTAAACCAATGCTTAAGACATCAGCAACCCATATCAGAATGCTGGTTTGAGTACATCCAATCCAGCTCCCTACTAATGCACCTGGGAAGGCAGCAGAGGATGGCCCAAGTGCTTGGCCCCTGCCATCCATATGAGAGACCCAGATGGAGTTCCTGGCTCCTGGCTTTAACCTGGACCAGACCTGGCTCCCATATGGGATGCTGGTGTCACAAGTGGTCACTTAACCTAATGCACCACATTGCTGGGCGAGATAACAGTTTTTTTAACCCATTACGTTCCCTGGGCCTAAAATAGTGTAGGTACACAAAACTCCATAGATATTTATTGAATGAATAAAGTGCTGTCACAAAGATGTGTATAAAGTGCTATAGGTGGCATCTGAGTTGTGATCTGAAATATCAGCAGGAGTTGCCAGTCAGACCAAAAGGGAGCAAGAAGCCAGGCATCCAATGAGGACCTACAACAGGTCAGGTGCTATGCCAGGCCCTAGTGATTCAAAGATGAATCTAATACAGTTCCTGTGTCTGGCTTGCTGTCGACTGAGGTAGTCAGACAGGTGAGGAGATGCTGTCACGCAGGGTTGGGGTAGTGTCCGTGTAGGACAGAGATGAGCACTGGATGAAGGGCACCTAATCCACATTGGGGACACTGGAGGTGATCAAAGACAGTTCTCTGGGGCCAGCATTGCAGTATAACAGGTTAAGCCGCTGCCTGCAATGCCAGCATCCTATATGGGCACTGGTTGGAGTTCCAGCTGCTCCCCTTTCCATCCAGCTCTTTGCTAATGCACTTGAGAAAGCAGTGGAAGATGGCCCAAATGCTTGGGCCCCTGCACCCAAGTGGGAGACCCAGAAAAAGCTCCTGACTTCTGCCTGGCCCAACCCTGGCAGCTGTGGCCATCTGGGGTGTGAACCAGCAGATGGAAGATTCTCTCTCTCTGCAACTTTGTCTTTCAAATAGATAAAATAAATCTTCAAAGACAGTTTCTTCAAGGAGATGACAGCAGACCTTTAACATTCGAGTGTTTAAAGGGCAAAACTGAGTTAGCCACCTGGAGCCAGAGGGAAGGCACTTCCTGCAGAGGGAGCAGACCCTACAAAGACAGGCAGATGAGAGCAAGTTGGCACACTCAGTGTGGCTAAGCAGACGGCAAGGGAGGAGTGGGGAGAGGGGAAGCTGGCCTGGTAGGGAGGGTAAAGCATCAAGACCACGCTCAGTGACGTGGTACAAAGTGAGGAGCTTGGGAAGTGTTTCCAAGTCGGAGTGACATGGCCAGGTAGGAAGGAGGCTTAGGGACATCACTCTGGAGCTGGATGCAGTGAAGGTAGTTAGGGCTCCTGAAATTAGTTTCTTCCCATCACAGACAGAGCACAGCAGATGCCCTCAGAAAGTTCAGTTGGGAGGGTGGTGCACAGTAGAGATGGGTCATCAGGCTTAACACGTTTCAGTGCTGGGATTCAAGTCCTGTAATGGAGGGGTTGCCAAGGTATTTGCTTCCTTGGAGAGCTCAGAGCCCACCCTGCCCCTTCTCTTTGCAGGGCCTATCTTGTCCCTTCCTATACCTTTGGGGAGAATGAGGTCCACAATCAGACGACCTTCCCTGAGGGCACATGGATAAGGATCTTCCAGAAACACTTCCAGAACATAGGCAAAAGAATCCTGGGGATTAACTTCTGTACCTTCCACGGCCGAGGCCTCACTCGTGGGTCCTGGGGCTTTCTGCCTTTCAATCGACCTGTTACCACTGTCGGTGAGCTTTTCATTATCCCTGGACCACACCGGATCGTGATCCCCGCCCTTCCTCACCCCAAGGCCCAGGGCACCCCGCTCCCAGCTGGGATGGGCGATGGGAATCTCAGTGAGTGTGACTGAGAGCAGGATGGGGAAAGCAACTAAACAGGAATTGTGGCCATTCATGAATGGGACAGATTTCAACAGCTGCCCCAAGAGAATCATTATTCACATGCATTCCTTCATCACTCTCCTGAGCTTGTGCACACTCTCTGGAGCATGGATAAGGTTAGGTGATCCAAGAAGGAGTGCCAGAATGGGGCCGGATCAAGAGGGGGAAACATGGAGGAAGGGGAGGGGACCCAGATACTGAATTTCAGGGTGTGGTCCCCAGTGAGGAATTGGTAGCTTGAGCTGGTAGGGGGAAGATTCTGATGCATGTCTCCTGTCTTTCTCCATAGTTGGGGAGCCCCTGCCAGTCCCCAGGATTAACAGACCCAGCAAGGAGGTGGTAGACAAGTACCATGCACTCTACATCCGCGCCCTGCACAAGCTGTTTGACCAGCACAAAGTTGAATATGGCGTCCCTGAGACCCAGGAGCTGACAGTCATTTAACAGGAGCCAAAGTCCCCATAAGCAAACCCCATAAACCATGGGGGATTTCAAGTAGAGCCACAGGGAAAGAAGAATTTAGAGAGAGGAGAGGAGATCAAGGATGGGAGGGGAAGCCAGACAAGCCAGATACTACTCAATGAGTCAGGGTTCCAACAGTGACATCCCCTCTCAAGTGCCCAGAGCAGGTTTGAGGGACAGAACCAAAGGGGCAGAGGAGGACTGGGGAGGACTGGTTAGCAGAGGAAGCTGCTCTATGATCCCTGCTTATTTTAGGGCTACAAACCAGGTTGGGAGTCTTTTGAGTCACTCCAGCCAACTGTCAGATCTGAGTAATGATAGACACTGTGCCCCTTCTCCTCTGAGCCTTAGCGGATCCAACACTGATGAGGTTTAGGATTGAAAGCTTTGTTTAGAAGAAGGATGCCTTGTTTCCTCCAAGTCCTGTTACTTATCATTTGGGGGCTGCTACAAGGTAAACCAGGGACCTGAACCATGGTTTCCTGATCCAAGCACACAGGACTCCCTCAGTTATGACAGAGTTCTAGTCTGGCTGTTTCTTCTATAAAAATAAAGTTCTGGATGCATAAAACAAGACATAATGACTTCATTACTTTGATTCATGCCTGGGCTTTCCTCAAACCTAAGCTTTTTCCCTCGTGGTCTTCAGAAAGACATTTTTCTCTGCCTCATCCTTCCTTTGTCTGGTTCCTGACACAAAAGGTAAGGACCGGAACCAGAGCTGTTGCACAGTGTAGGAAACAGGTACCCACTGAGTAGCCCACCTCTCACGATCCCACACTAACCACCCTGTGTCAGGAGGGAGGGAGCCACAAGGTCAGGTGTCAGGATCCACACTACAGCTTTCACAACCTGTGTCTCTTCATGCAAACACCAGTCCCATACGATCACGATTGCCTTCCTATCCACTGCCCAGTAACTAAAACAACTAACAACCAGGCCTTACTAACCCCAAACCAAAGTTTTCCCCAGTGCACCACCACGTGTCCCGTTCCTCATTTTCTAGAATCTATTTAGCAGCCTAAATTCCTAATTGAAGTCCATGGCATTCCGCCAAAATTAGTCCCCAAATTAGTTCCCAAATGTGAGCAAAAATGACCTGGATTCTGCTCAAAGGGGTCCCAGGCTGGGCCTCCGAGAAAAGAATGGATGAATTTTTAAAAACTTTTTTTTTAACTTTTATTTAATGAATATAAATTTCCAAAGTACAGCTTATGGATTACAATGGCTTCCCCCCCATAACGTCCCTCCCACCCGCAACCCTCCCCTTTCCCGCTCCCTCTCCCCTTCCATTCACATCAAGATTCATTTTCGATTCTCTTTATATACAGAAGATCAGTTTAGCATACATTAAGTAAAGATTTCAACAGTTTGCTCCCACACAGAAACATAAAGTGAAAAATACTGTTTGAGTACTAGTTATAGCATTAAATCTCAATGTACAGCACACTAAGGACAAAGATCCTACGTTAGAAACAAAACCACACATTTATAGTCAACTGATTTCTCACCAAGGATGCCAAGAAAATTCAATGGGGGAAAGGATGTTCTTTTTCACAAATGATGCCAGGACAACTGGATATCCACACGGAAAAATAATTAAGTCAGGTCCTTACTTCACACCATTGAGAAAAATTCCCCTAAAATGAATCAAAGGTCTGCAGTAAAAGCTAACATGAATAAACTCTCAGAGAAAAATATATGTGTAGAACATCATGATCTTGAATTAGGCAATGTTTACTTAGCTTTGACACCAAAAACATAAGCAACAAAAGAAAAGTAGTTAAGTTGGACTCCATATAAATAAAATACTTTAAACTTTTTTTTTTTTTGCTCCAAAGGACACTATTAAGAAAGTGCAAGGACAATCCATGGAAAATGAGAAAATACTTGCAAATCATGTATCTGGTAAAAGCCAAAAAGCCAGAATATGTAAATAACTTATAAAATCCAATAACACAAAAAAACCTTTGATTTTTCAAACGGGCAAAAGATTTGTCTAGATATTTCTCCAAAAAAGAAATTCAAATGCAAAGGTGCTCCAAATTATTCATTATAATGGAATGCAAATCAAAGTCACCATGAGGGGCCAATGCTGTGACACAGTGGGTAAAGTTCCTGCCTGCAGTGCCAGCATCCTATATGGGTGCCAGTTCAAGTCCCAGCTGCTCCTTTTTTGATCCAGTTCCCTGCTAATGGCCTGGGAAAACAGTGGAAGATGGCCCAAGTGCTAGGGCCCCTGCACTCATGTGGGAGACCCGGAAGAAGATCCTGGTTCTTGGCTTCAATCTGCCACAGCCCGGGCTGTTGCAACCATTTGGGGAGTGAACCAGTGGATAGAAGATCGATTCTCTCTCTCTCTCTCTTTCTCTCTTTCTTTCTCTTGCACGTGCATGCTCTCGCTCTCACTCTAACTCTGACTTTATTTGAAATTTCAAATAAAGTCAGAGTTACACAGAGAGAGAAGGAGAAGCAGAGAGAGAGAGAGAGAGAGAGTCTTCCATCCACTGGCTCACTCCCAATTGGCCGCAACAGCCGGAGCTGCGCCGATCTGAAGTCAGGAGCCAGGAGCTTCAGGTCTCTGACACAGATGCAGGGGCGCAAGCTTTTGGGCCATCTTCCACTGCTCTCCCAGGCCATTAGCAGGGAGCTGGATTGGAAGAGGAGCAGCCAGTACTGGAACCAGTGCCCATAAGGGATGCTGGCATTTCAGGCCAGGTCTTTAACCTGCTGCACCACAATGCCAGCCCCAGATGACTCTATTTTAAAATGTGCTTGGGGTCGGCACTGCAGCTCAATAGGCTAATCCTCCACCTGTGACTCCGGCACACCGTGTTCTAGTCCCAGTCGGGGCACTGGATTCTGTCCCAGTTGCCCCTCTTCCAGTCCAGCTCTCTGCTGTGGCCCGGGAAGGCAGTGGAGGATGGCCCAAGTCCTTGGGCCCTGCACCCGCGTGGGAGACCAGGAGAAGCACCTGGCTCCTGGCTTCAGATCAGCGCGGTGTGCCAGCCGCAGCGCACCAGCCACAGCGGCCACTGGAGGGTGAACCAACAGAAAAGGAAGACCTTTCTCTCTGTCTCTCTCTCTCTCTCACTGTCCACTCTGCCTGTCAAAAATTTAAAAAAATATATGAAGCAAGATGGCGGAAACACATCTTTCCAACAAAGATGCATACAGACTGAAAGTGAAAGACTGGAAAAAGATATACCACACCAACAGAAATGAAAAAAGAGCGGGTATAGCCATCTTAATATCGGACAACATAAACTTTACCACAAAAACTGTTGAGAGACAAAGAGGGGCACTATATAATGATTAAGGGATCAATTCAACAGGAAGATATAATGATTATCAATGTTTATGCACCTAATTATAGGGCACCGGTTTATTTAAAAGATTTGAAAAAAAAAAAAAGATTTGTTAAGGGACTTAAAGGGAGACTTAGACTCCAATACAGTAGTACTGGGGGACTTCAATACTCCACTCTCAGAAATAGACAGATCAACTGGACAGAAGATCAACAAGGAGACAGTAGATTTAAACGACACTATAGCCCAAATGGATCTAACAGATATCTACAGAACTTTTCATCCTACAGAGAAAGCATTTACATTCTTCTCAGCAGTACATGGAACCTTCTCTAGGATTGACCACATACTAGGCCATAAGGCAAGCCTCAGCAAATTCAAAAGAATTAGAATCATATGATGCAGCTACTCAGACCATAAAGGAATGAAGTTGGAAATTAGCAACTCAGGAATCCCTAGAGCATATGCAAACACATGGAGATTGAACAACATGCTCCTGAATGAACAATGGGTCATAGAATAAATCAAAAGAGAAATCAAAAACTTTCTGGAAGTAAATGAGGATAACAGCTCAACATACCAAAACTTATGGGATACAGCAAAAGCAGTGTTAAGAGGAAAGTTTATATCAATAGGTGCCTACATCAAGAAATTGGAAAGGCACCAAATAGATGAGCATTCACTGCATCTCAAGGATCTAGAAAATATGCAGCAAACCAGACCCAAATCTAGTAGGAGAAGAGAAATAATTAAAATCAGAGAAGAAATCATCAGGATTGAATCCAAAAAAAAATTACAAAAAATCAGCCAAACGAGGAGCTGGTTTTTTGAAAAAAAATAAACAAAATTGACACCCCATTGGCCCAACTAACTAAAAAAAAGAAGAGAAAAGACCCAAATCAATAAAATCAGAGATGAAAAAGGAAATGTAACAACAGACACTACAGAAATAAAAAGAATCATCAGAAATTACTACAAGGACTTGTGTGCCAGCAAACAGGGAAATCTATCAGAAATGGATGGATTCCTGGACACATGCAACCTACCGAAATTGAACCAGGAAGACATAGAAAACCTAAACAGACCCATAACTGAGACAGAAATTGAAACAGTAATAAAGGCCCTCCCAACAAAGAAAAGCCCAGGACCAGATGGATTCACTGCTGAATTCTACCAGACATTTAAAGAAGAACTAACTCCAATTCTTCTCAAACTATTAGAACAATCAAAAAAGAGGGAATCCTCCCAAATTCTTTCTATGAAGCCAGCATCACCTTAATTTCTAAGCCGGAAAAAGATGCAGCATTGACAGAGAATTACAGACCAATATCCCTGATGAACATAGATGCAAAAATCCTCAATAAAATTCTGGCCAATAGAATGCAACAACACATCAGAAAAATCATCCACCCAGACCAAGTGGGATTTATCCCTGGTATGCAGGGATGGTTCAATGTGCGCAAAACAATCAACGTGATACACCACATTAACAGACTGCAGAAGAAAAACCATATGATTATCTCAATAGACGCCGAGAAAGCATTTCATAAAATACAACACCCTTTAATGATGAAAACTCTAAGCAAACTGGGTATGGAAGGAACATTCCTCAATACAATCAAAGCAATTTATGAAAAACCCATGGCCAACATCCTATTGAATGGGGAAAAGTTGGAAGCATTTCCACTGAGATCTGGTACCAGACAGGGATGTCCACTCTCACCACTGGTATTCAATACAATTCTAGAAGTTTTAGCTAGAGCTATTAGGCAAGAAAAAGAAATTAAAGGGATACAAATTGGGAAGGAAGAACTCAAACTATCCCTCTTTGCAGATGATATGATTCTTTATTTAGGGGATCCAAAGAACTCTACTAAGAGACTATTGGAACTCATACAAGAGTTTGGCAAAGTAGCAGGATATAAAATCAATGCACAAAAATCAACAGCCTTTGTATACACAGGCAATGCCACGGCTGAGGAAGAACTTCTTAGATCAATCCCATTCACAATAGCTACAAAAACAATACCTTGGAATAAACTTAACCAAGGACATTAAAGATCTCTATGATGAAAATTACAAAACCTTAAAGAAAGAAATAGAATATGATACCAAAAAAATGGAAAAATCTTCCATGCTCATGGATTGGAAGAATCAATATTATCAAAATGTCCATTCTCCCAAAAGCAATTTACAGATTCAATGCAATACCAATCAAGATACCGAAGACATTCTTCTCAGATCTGTAAAAAATGATGCTGAAATTCATATGG